GACATTTACCACAAATTAAAGTTATCTTATATTATTAGATATATTATTATAAAACATGTTTTGGTTAAGGAGTTATTGATACTTCAAGTGCAAAATGATGATATAAAACCATGATAAAAATGCACTTTTAAGTATTAATCATTATACAAGTGACTCTTAAAATTAAGATTATTAAGTTATTTTATATAGAAAATGTTATATTTTTATCTTGTTACATGTTATTTTAATCAATGGTAATAGTCAAGCATATATTGGATATAACATGAATACTATTAAGGTATTTAAACAATAAAAAGAGGATTCATCACCCTAGGTGGATTAATAAAAATATTTCTTATGTTTTCAAATAATATTGATTGTAAATTCTTGAGTAACGTGGATTAAGATTTGAAAAGAGTTTTAGATTTTATTCAAATAATTAATAACTATGATATTGAGAACAAATATGATTTGATATAGTAAACATGATATATGCTATAATATCTAAATCAAAACATTGTCGATGGAAAGATAATAATTATAACTTTCTTAATATTTGGAGGATTATGACAAGTTATTAATTCTGAAAAATTAGTCACTGAAAAGTTAAGTTAAATCACTTATAACTTTCTTAATATTTGAAGGATCATGACAAGTTACTATATATTATACTTAATTTTTAAATATAAATCAATCAAAATTAATTTTTTAATCTTATTTTATTTAGGATTATAACTTATATTTGAGACCAACTTATTAGAGAACCTAATGTCACACATATAAGAATTAATGGTCAAAAATTAAAATAGGATGATTAATCAAGTGTGACTTGATTGTAAATAAATTTTAAACTAAAATATAATTTATACAAGAAATTACAATTCTAGACCTAGAAAAATCAAGTAGAGATTTGATTGAATAAATTTCTAAAATTATTATGAAATAATATATGTGATATTATTCAATGGAAAAATTAATATTTCAATATTTATAGGGTTTTCAAGTTTTCTTATAAATAGAATGTTATGCCTCCTATTTTATGCACATTAAGCATTACATAAACACCTAAAAGACATAAAAGAAAAAAAATGCTAGTATTTAAAGGCATAACAATCCTTCTTTTTTTATAAAGGTTTAATAGATTTTTTATTAGCGGTTCATATGGATTATCATTAAAGGCCAAATACTTGAACGATTTATAATTTGCGACAACTTAACCTTAAGCAATTATTCAAAAATAAAAAAAAAATTGATTTTTATGTAATTTTCATATAAATCACAAGTAATTATTCAAAAATAAATTTTTTTTTGATTTTTATGTAATTTTCATATAAATCATAAACAACTCTAGATTGTCTAATGAAATCTTAGAATTCCTAAAAAAATTTTAAATTTATTGTTTCTATTACATATATATGTTTTACAAAAATTCAACAAAATCATGACCTAGATTTTTGCTTTTCTCACCAGCTAAATAACTATAAAAACATTGAATTTCAAAAAAAAAATTATTATAGTTATAAAAACATATACACAATCTGTTATCTTAATACTCTTAACAAGAGTTATTTTAATAAGAGAATGATTTACTATGTAAGAAGATAACATTAATTTTTTTTTTTTTTGCTAAAAACCAATTAACAAATGTTTCAATTTTTTTTTTCTATATAACCCTAAGAGGCCTAAAAAATTCTAAACTACCAACCTAGAGATTCCTTTTTCATGCAAATGCTTTTCAATGTTAAAAGCCAAACAATCTATGTCATATCATTTAAACACACAAATAGAATTTAAAATTTATAAAATTTAAAGTTATTTAATCTAAATTCTAAACATATAAATAGATCATTTTTTTAGTCATGTATATAAAATTAAATTAATACTAATCAATGTACTAAGGAGAAGGCTGTAATACCACATGTAGTATAATTCTAGCATACCAAGTATTTATACGGAATATAAAATTAATAAGATATATACCTTCAATCATTATTGATTAAATATTAAAATAATTATTCAAAAAACTATGTTTTTAAGAATAGAGAGTCTTCCAATTTATATCAAATTTTAAGGTTAGTGTGTGTAAAAAAGACACATGATTTTAAAGTTAATATGATGGATATACTTGACCAACTATTAGAGTTTAATGTGTTTTAATTCTTTTTCATTTTCGTTGGTGCTATTATGATGTTTGGCTTCCTAAGACAAAAAAAACAAAGCAAAAGGAAAAGAAAAACAAGTCTTTTTTTTCTTTTCAAAGAAGGCACAAACATACTTCATTAAAAAAAATAAGTGTTAAAAGAAATTAACTTTTATGAAAAATAAGTTCCTCCAATGGTAAGGTGATTTTTTTAAATTTTTTTATTAATAATTGAAATTCATTTTTATTATTTGATGCCAAAAATTTTTGAAACTATTAAAGACATGCTTATGTGACATAAAACATACTTATTGTATTAATTTGATGCTTATATAGCAAACATAATTTTATTTTGAGAAATATAATTATAAGTGTCTTATTCATATAAATCTTATTTAGAACTATCTTTAAATTTTAAACCTAGTAACATGAATAACTTTTTAATATTTTTATTTAATTGTGTGGTAATAAAAATATATTAGTAAGAAAAATAATGATTTAAATCATGGGGTAAAAATGAATGTTTTAGTTACTTTTCTTATTAATTTTTATTAGTTTTTTTAAAAATATCTTTTTATTAGAAGCATGGTATATTGAATAAAAAAATGAAGTCAATTGACATATAAATTAGAAAAATTTCTATTGATTTTAAGTAAGGAGTAAAAAATGTATCTTTCTCATCAAAACTCTCTGTTTTTTTTTTAAAATATCTACCCGCATTTAATTTGAATTAAATTATTAAATAAATTAAATTTAAATTTTTAAATAAATAAAATAATTTATATTGGCTGAATTTACATATTTTAAAAAATAGAATTTAATTTATCTTGTTTTCTACATTACCATTATCATGTTCATTTTATTATTTCAAATGAAAGGAGATTTTTGGAAGTTAGTTTTACATTAATTTCAATATAGTAAATAAAAAATTTCACATATAATTTACTTTTATATATTTTTTAAGAATTAATTTTATTTAACATTCAAAATAATTCAAAGCAGTAACCTATGGTTTAGATATTTAAAAAGTTAATTGTGTGAATAGACACAATGGCCGTGCCCATAGCAAACTCTTTTTTGTTGTTTACTATTCAAAATATTCTCTCTCGAAAAAAGCAAAAACAAAAAAAAAAAATCCACCACTAAGAACAGTCTTTCAATAAAAATAAAAAAATCCACCACTAAGAACAGTCTTTCCCCTTTGTTTTCATCAACGCTACCACCAATCGCCCCCCAAAAAACCCCAATTTCTAGCCCACAGGCAAATTAGGGTTTTACGATGACAGATCGAAACAACACCGCCATCACTGCCGCCGCTACCTCAACCACCAACCACTCAGGTACTAAACCAATATGGATGAAGCAAGCAGAGGAAGCAAAACTAAAAAGCGAGGCAGAAAAAACCGCAGCAGCGAAAGCTGCATTCGACGCGACCTTCAAAGTATTATCAGACAAGGCTGAGAAGCCCGCGGATTCAGATTCCGAGGAGGAAGATGCAGAGGAGGATTTGGCCAATAAACCAGTGGGACCAGTTGACCCCAATAAGTGCACGGCGGCAGGTGGTGGCATTGCCGGTGGGACCGCGTGTGCACCGGCCACGTTTATGGTTGTTACCAAGGATGCGGATGGGAGGAAAGTTCCAAATGGAGGCGCGGTGATTAAGGTTAGGGTTTCACCGGGAGTGGGAGTTGGGGGAACGGAGCAAGAAGGGATTGTGAAGGATATGGGAGATGGGACATACACGATTACATATGTGGTGCCCAAAAGAGGGAATTATATGGTTACTATTGAGTGTAATGGGAAAGCTATTATGGGGAGTCCTTTCCCTGTTTTCTTTAGTGCAGGTATATATATTTACGGTTATGGAATTTTTTTTGTGTTTTCTATGTGAACTTTATGTTGGTTATACAGTTCTAGGTACTGTTGTCTGCGGTAATGAGTTTGTGTATTGCTATTTGTCAATCACTTGTAATGTTTTCAACACTTGTGTATGACTTGTTGATTTTTGCAAGCAAATTTTGAATTATATATTGTCTTGGCTCTTTTGTCCGGATTTTTTTTGGGGAGGTTGTTTAAATTGGAGCGATACTGTCTTGACGCTTCTGAAAATTTTGATTGTTGATCTAGTAAGATAATGTGCTGCATATCTTTATTTGGTTTATGCATGCATATGGACATTTGCAATTTCTTCTGCATGGAAGTGAGAGAAAAGGAATGATTGGGATATTTTCTTGTGTGGTTTGTTAAAGTAAGTAAAGATGATGGAGGGTGGTTTTCCTGATTAAATACTCGCTAATAATTTGTAAACTGTCTATCTTTTCCTTTAATAAGCCATGTTATCTCACCGTCCAATATATCCTTGAATTGTTCCTGACTTGTTATTCAAATATTCAGTCTTGCTATTCATCTCTAACACGTTTAGGTATTGAATTGTTGTCATGCAATGCAGGCACTTCGACTGGAGGGTTGCTGGGTGTGGCTCCTACAACAACATTTCCAAACCTTGTGAACCAGACCATGCCTAACATGCCAAATTACTCGGCCAACATTTCTGGGGCATTCCCTGCATTACTAGGAATGACTCCAGGCATTACTTCCAGTGCTTCAGGTGGTGCTATTTTGCCTGGAGCTGGAGCATCTCTTGGGGAAGTTTGTCGAGAGTACCTTTATGGTCGGTGTGCAAAAACCGATTGCAAGCTGAGTCACCCTCCACAGAGCTTACTGATGACTTTGTTAGCCCCGACAACCTCAATGGGGACTCTTAGTCAGGTGCCTATGGCACCTTCTGCAGCTGCAATGGCTGCTGCTCAGGCTATTGTTGCTGCCAAAGCTCTTCAAGCTCATGCTGCTCAGTTGCAAGCGCAAGCTCAGTCAGCCAAAGATTCATCTGGTATTCTCACCTCTTATTAGCTGCTCATGCATGTATCAGATAGCTTGTATGAATCCTTTCTTTTCTCATTGCCCGAAGCTATTGATTTTACTTGTGCTGTACCTTGGTTTAAGTATTTTTTTCCTTTCATTTTATGTCCTAAGTTCTTACTGCTGAGCATTTACCCCCTTGCCAGGATCACCTGACAAAGCTCGGAAGGAGGATGCACTGCAGAAAACACTCCACGTTAGCAATCTCAGCCCGCCTCTGACAGTGGAACAGCTGAAACAACTGTTTAGCTTTTGTGGCACAGTTGTTGAATGTACCATTGCTGATTCAAAACACTCTGCTTACATAGAATACTCGAAACCTGAAGAAGCAACTGCTGCTTTAGCATTGAACAACATGGATGTTGGGGGTCGGCCTTTGAATGTTGAGACGGCTAAATCTCTTCCTCAGAAACCTATTTTGAACTCTTCCTTTGCTTCATCTTCTCTGCCAATGATGATGCAGCAAGCAGTTGCCATGCAACAGATGCAATTTCAACAGGCTTTGCTTATGCAGCAAACTATGACTGCACAGCAGGCAGCTAACAAAGCTGCAACAATGAAGTCGGCAACAGAGTTAGCAGCAGCTAGAGCTGCAGAAATAAGTAAGAAGTTAAAAGATGATGGGCTTGTCACTGGAGAAGGGGAAACAAAAGCAGAATCCAAGTATGTCAGCTTATCTCTTTCTTTTAAAATAGATCACTGATGATAATTTGCATTACTACTCTTTGCTTTTGCCTCAGATTAAGATTTTGGATTAGATAAATACTGCAGTGGGTCTTTCATAATCCCTTTTCTCTTTTTTATTTGAGAGACATGGTACAAGAAAGGAACACAAGGTCTTCTTGGTATGATTTTTTACTACCATGGCTTGCTTTTTTTCTCCCCTCCCATATCTGTTAGCCTTCATGAAATCATTTGTCAGAACTGAGTTGCCTGAGTTGGTGGAGAGTCCAACTTGGGGCTTATCAATTGCTAATGCCGTAGTTATTTAAACATATGCAAACCTTTTATCTTTTGTTAAAGCATGCAAGTTTGAGAATTGTTAGGTTATTGTTTTTGATTTGTATAACAAATAAACTTGACACTCTAATTAAAACTTAATACTTTGCTCTGTGGTTTTTTCTCCACTGATGAGTTTATTGCCTCTTGCAGGTCACCATCCCCGCCTCGAGCAAGGTCCAGATCCAAGTCGAGATCACCAATTAATTACCGAAGAAGAATGAGGTCACCTTCTTACTCGCCCCCATCCCGCCACAGTAGAGACCGTAGATCGAGGTCCCCTGTGAGAATTCGCTATCACTCAAGGTATAATTACGAAAGACGATCATATAGAGATAGAGATAGTAGAGATGATGGTGATAGAACTAGAAGGCGGGAATTGGATAGATCCCGTGATCATCATTCACCTGTTTCAAGGAGAAATAGGAGCAGGAGTGCAAGCCCTCGAACAAGAAAATCCTACAGAGCTGATTCAGGCTCACCAAAACATCGCCAAGAAAGTTCAGCTCATAGATCAAGAAAAGCATCAGACAGTGGTTCAAGATCACCTAGGCATCATGGAGGAAGTCGATCATCCCCAAGGAACAACCCAGATAGCAAGCTCAGGTACAGAAGGCGCTCACGCTCTAGGTCCAAATCAGTGGAAGAGGCCAATGACAAAGTGTATGAAATCCGAGAAAAAAAGTCAAAGCAGCATGAGAGGAGGTCTAGGTCATTATCTGTGGAGCTTAAACACCATGGAAGGAGGCCATCCCCTAGAAGTTCAAATGAAGATGACTCAAAGCACAGAAGTCGGTCCAGGTCAAAATCTGTGGAAGGTAAACGCCATTCCAATGAGAAAGTAGACAAAACTGGGGATGGGAGGCTGAAGCACCATCATAGGAGGTCCAGGTCAAAATCTGTTGATGATAGGCATCATTACAAAGAGAGGGGAAATGAAACCAGGGATAAAAAAAGAAAGCATCAAGATAGAGGGCGGTCTAGATCAATAACTGCAGAGGGAAAGCATCACAGAAGTAGGTCATCCCCAAGAGGTAGGGATGGGAGCAAGTCAAAGCACAGACGGCACTCTAGGTCAATATCTCCAGAAGGCAAGCGGCGGTCTAGTCACAGGTTAGATCAAAATAAAGATGAAAAGTCTAAGCACCGCCATAGACGAAGGTCACCATCCGCTGAAGGTAAACACGGCAGATCTCCAAGAAGTTCAGAGGAAAATAAATCAAAACATAGGAGGCGCCCTAGGTCAAAATCTGCCGAATGCAAACGTCATTCAAATGATGAAAAGGATATTAGAAGAGGGGAAAATGAGACTCATCATGAGCATGGATCAGACAAAACAGAAGATGCCAATGAGGAAAAAGAATATTTTATGAATGAAGAAGTGGTGGATTTAAAACATAAAGGTTGTGATTCAAAGGAACTGGTGGAAGACATGGTAACGGGGGGCAATGGTTTGCCAAATTCAAGCAATGAAGAACCTTAGTTACTGAAAGTTGAACATCCAAAACTGAACTCAAATGGTAATGACAACTAATGCGACAGGAAAAAAAATATTTTTTCAATGTTGTTGGCCATTAATTAGCCTAATATTATCCTTGCCTGGTTTACAGAATTTGAAGAGCGTAAGAGAACTGAAGTTAATGTTTGAGGACAGCATATAATGCTTGGAAGAGAAGCTGTTTTTCATGGAAGGCTCTTTTTTATGTTTTGTTTTGCTGTGCACCTATTTGAGAAGCTTGCAGAGATGCATGAACTTAATTCCAGCAGAATCAGCCTTTGCTCGCATGAAGGGCGATTCTTACAGAAGATTTCTTGATGTTCTTTGGTTGTATTTTTCTGCCAGCTTTGGCTCCTCATAAATATGCACACTTGTGTGTTTGTTTATCTTTTGCAGGTTCACTTGTAACAAATTGGAACTAGAGTCTTTAAGGCTGAGCTGACCATGATAGGGATTGTATGTTTCAAATGGTGTTCTGCTGTCATCCGGGTCAACCATTCAATCTTTCTAGCAAAGCTTCTATTACTGCTAGATGTATGTTGGACTATTACTACCTCTATTGCTAACTGTGCTTCTTCTTTTTTTCCCCTTATATATATATATAAAAATGTCTGTTTGAGAAAGTATTTCTAGTTTCAATTTTCTTTCTTCTTTTTCCTTTTGAATTTGATATGATATATATAAAATTTCATATATATATTTTTGTTAATTTTAAATCTTAATGTGGTCTTAGGCCCTTTGATGGAGTGGTAGAAACTATGCTTTTATTACATAATACAGCAGCATGTACCTAGTTAACTTGCTGTGTTAATGTTTTTTGGATCATAAGCATGCCCTGCGTGTGATTGAGTGAAAGCTTACTATAGTTCTGGTTTTCATATCCACCCATCATGATTTAGGTCTGCCCATCTCCATTTACAGTTTTCCATCTCCTTTCATCTTTTTTTCAAGATGAAAGCTTAAAGAGTGTATGTGGTAGGTAGGTTGATAATGGGTTAAACATTTATTTATGTTTGATGGTGTGGTGGGCTGTCATACCCCAAATACATGCAGGTTATACATGATGTTTCCATTGGAGCTGCCGACATCAATGAAAGGATTGTTGATATTTACTGATGTAATGAAGGTATGCTGTCAGTAGAGTGGGACGGCTATCTGTTGAGATTTCCACCAGTCATGGAATTTTTAGACTTTTAATAAATTCAATTGGCTGGATGTGTCTGTAGTCGATACTTGTGTAACTTGGGCCAACATGTTTTAAAACCCAGTGTCTTATTCCTTTCCCATCTTTTTCTCTTGTTTTTTCCTTTTCCTTTCTTTTCTCCTTCCAAAGGTGTCTGTGTTAGCGAAGCTACTTTTGAGGTCAAGTGAAACCAGAGTCGCTGGGATGAATAACATTACAGTTGCACAATGTTGTACATGAGCAGACTGGGTGACTAAATTTTTCAGTGAAATGCAGATTTTTTTTTTCCACAGGTAATTTCTATTCAACTGTTAGGATGAGTTCTGTTTCATGATAAAGCTTCACTAATGCTTGTGTCTTCCACGCAGATGATTCTAAATATTGACACTGCTTTCTCTAGTGATTGAAAACAGGAACTTTATGTTTGACCAAATGATTTAACTTTATTTTGAAATTATAAATGTGCTTAGAGGTGCTCTCTCTCTTGCGTCCTTCTGTTCTTCAGATCCACTTTTATACGATTGCTCTGTTTCAAGTGGCTAGTTTCGGCAGAGGTGTTTAGGGCCTGCCCTGTACTGTAAGTGTCATTTAGTTGTAAATATTTGAGCTTCAAACCAGTTTTCTTGAATTTTGACCTTGATTATTAATTTACCAGATAGACTGTGTACATCAAAATGCAGACTAATTCACAAGTTTCCATTTCTTTTTCCCTTTTCGGTTGTTTGGGGTGGGGTTGGGTTGGGTTGTGAACACAACAGGGGGGAAAATGCAATGATGCTATCAGCAATGTTGGTCGTTGTGGGTTTATCCGATTTTTTGGTCTCCCTTTGAGCTGTACTTGTCAATGTTAATTTCAGGAGATACGGGCGAGTTGGCTAGTGAGAGGAGTGGAAAATGGGTGTTAATCGGAAGGATTAGTCTTCCTGCCGTGAGATGACGAGATAAGTTAGTGATTTTTTATTTGTTTTAGGTGCGTCAATCTGTCATCCAATATGATAAATGAAGCCTGTCTGTGTTTCCCTCCCTTTCTCCTCCGTTTCTTTTTCTTGATAGGATGGCATGAAAGCTGAAGCAATGGGTCCCTCTGGTGTGATGAGGAACTACCTGTCTATAAGATGAAAGTTGTTGCGTCGTCCTTCTACCCTGGCCTCCTTTCTTTTTTCTTTTCCTCCCTTCCTCTTTCTCTCCCTCTCTTTTTTGTCCTTTCTCAGGCAGTGATGCAAGGACTTAAGGAAGGGCGTCACGGCATCCTTGATATAAGCCTTTGCCTATGTGTGTGCTGTTTTCATGTCTGCTGTGTTGTGTGTTTTGACATTCGCGAGGAGCAGGCATGACAAAGTTGTAAAACAGAGAAGCTAATAATCATTTCTGCATGTTGCTCAATGTCAATGGCTCACAAGTTCAAGGATGATCACGAAGCTAAAGGGATAGGGTCTCAGTTTTGTCAGCAAGGGATAATCAAGCACTCGAATAGCTGAGGATTGAATGTTTTGATTATGGTTTTTAAACGTTGGATTCTGCGTCGTTCGATGTTAGATTGAGCTCATTGATCGTACAAGAAATGGGGGCTGCCTTGTAGCCGTGAAAAGCCAAAATAGACAGAAATTTCTGAAAGTAACTTTCATAACCCAAGGCCAATCACTAGAATACAGGGGATATTTTGGGAGTGCATCACAAGCCTACGCCATACAAATTGCAGCCAGATGCAAAATTTGATGAGCCAGACAGGATAGGAAGGATTTTCCCAATCCCACGCGGCTACGGGATGAACGATCATTTTTTTTTTTGTTACAAGATATATTGTGGATTCTTACCTATTTTTTACATGATTGTTTTTTTATGATATTTTTTAGGTTTTTTTTTAATGATTTTTATTGATTTTATTTTTTTAATATTAAACTAATTAAAACTTTAGTTTTACAATTTTTTTAAATATTTAGGATTGCTATAATATTTTTCTATATAATTTTTTAATAATTTTTTTAAAATTAGGTTAATTTTATTTTTTTAATATTGATGTAGTTGAGGATTATAACAGTAGCTATTCCCACAATATATATATTTTTTTATGATTGTTTTGATGGGTGTTTCTTTATATAGTTTTGTTTGTTATAATTTTTTAAAATTATCTATCAATTTTTATTTTTTTGATATTGAGCTGATTGAAAATTAAAACTGTAGCTTTTCTTATAAAAAACTATAGATTGCTACAATATTTTTTTACATGGTTTATTCTTTTTCTTTTTCGGATTGGTAAAAAAATTTTTACATGGTTTATTCTTTTTCTTTTTCTTTTTTTATAATTTTTTTCAAATTTTTTTATTTTTTAAATATTAAGTTAGTTGAGAATTTAATTTTGTAGTGTTTTTTATAAACAATATGGACTGCTATAATATTTTTCTATATAATTTTTTTATAATTTTTTTAAAATTATCTTTATTAATTTTTTTATATTGAGTTAGTTGACAATTACAACTATAGCTTTTCTTACGAAGCATTATGAATTTTCTATATATTTTTTACAACTTTTTTAAAATATTAAGTTAATAAAAAATTTAATTTCATAATTTTTTTTATTAACAGAAAAACTATATCATATAACAAAAACTAAATTATGTAAGGAAAATATTATATTTTTTTTATAAAATATTATAAAATGCTACAACTTATTCTATTTACTCTGTAAGTTTATTATTAATAATATATTTTTTTTTCATGAAATATGAGCTTAATTATACTTTTAGTTTTCAGTTATTTGTTTAATATTAATTTATAATTTTAACAACATTAAAAATATTTACATAATGAACCCGCGCCCCAGGCAATCGCGGTAGTTACTAATTTCTGTTGACGTAAAACCTGAGGCCAGGGCACCTAGAAATGAACTCACAGGATAAGCATTAAATCATTTTCTCGAGGAATTAACTAAGCTGGCATGGCCTTTCATAAAGCAGGGGAGGCAGCCCCTTTTTGCATTTTTTTAAGTTTCTTATATACGTGTATTTGGGTCACGAGCTAATTTTGTGGGGGTTTATTTTCTCTCGAAAACATCAATTTCAAGCGCATGCGGTGGGGTGATAATTTTGTTTTTTTTTAAATAATATTTAAAAGGTTGGATGTTGTAACGCACATATCATCCTATTATTGTTTTTAATTATAAATTAAAAACTAGATTGATAGTATAGTTATAATTATTTTTTAAATAATTTTTATATTAAAATACATATTATTAATTTTTTTTATTTTTAAATTATTTTTAATATTAGTATATTAAAATGAATGAACAACACCAAAAACATATTAATTTGAAGTAAATAAAAAATAATTAAAAATTTTTTTTAATTTTTTTTAAATACAAAAACATTCATTACCTTAATATTCAATTAAATTGACTGAATTTCACGAGGATAAAAAAAGTATTGTTGAAGTGAAATAGCTATGCTGATTGCTTATTAATTTAATGCAAGTGGCGGTCCAAATTATATAGTTTTAATGCTTAATCCAACAATTGCAGACATAAATCTAAGGTTCACTTGCCTTTGTTCCTTCGAAAAGGTTGAAATCCGAGATCTTAGGCTTGATTTGATTCTTAAATTAATACACTAATCACTATAAGCTTCACTTTCAAGACTCCCTGTTTAAATTCTTAAGTGCTAACCTAACCATCAGCATCGTTTTTTAAGAATATGATTATAGTTATTTTTAAAATATTTTTTATTTAAAAAATATTAAAATAATTTTTAAAAATAATTTTTAATTTTAAAATATAAAATTAATATAAAAATACTAAAAAAATATTAATTTTTTTTAAAAACAATAAATACACAGTACACCTGTCCATCCCTCTTATATCACAACAAAAATGAAAAAAGGTTGGCATCACGTGTAACAAACATGTGAAAACTATCTTTTTTTATTTTTACCAACAATCAATATTGACTTTAAAAACATTTCATTTTCATGATTTTGTTTGTGTTTTTATATTTTAAATCACTTTTTTTTTGTATTTTAATTTTTTTTATGTCTTCTTATTGGAAATAAGTTTAAAACATAAAAATATTATTTTAATATATTTAAAAAAACTGTAAACAATAATTATTACCGTTCTGCCCTGAAAACATAAGTGCTCTGAAGCTATGACACTGCCCCCACAGCATCTCCTTTTTCATGTGAAGGGCCACTGATCTCAAATCACATGACTGTGTCTACCTAGTACTTCACAGATAAAAAATAATACTAAAATGAGGTGAATTTACCATGTTCTTGATAAAGAGTAATTTATTTATTGCCATATATGCCCAATTATGAAGTCAAATTAGAAACTCGTGTTTGGTTTTTATAAGATTTTCAATGTAATACTAGTAACAGTCTGTGTGTATTAAGGATTTTTGCTATTTATGTATAAAGGAGTATGTTTTAAAATATAGGTAGGATTATTTTTTAAAGTAATTTTTATTTTAAATTATATTAAAATATTTTTTTATTTTTAAAAATTATTTTTAATATTAACCCATCAAAATAATTTAAAAATATCAAAAAATAGTAATTTAAAGTAAAGAAAAAAATAAAAAAAATTAAATTTTTTAAAAAATACTTTTAAAACATAAAAATAAATAAATAAATAATTAGGTTAGTTAACAAGCAAATAAAATAATTTTTTTTCTTTTATAATATAAAAGATATGATAAAAGCTCTTTACCCATAGCTGCTTCTAGAAAATGAATTTTTAACCATTTTAAGAAGATAAGATTGTTTAGCGGCTTTAGATATTTTTTCGAAAGTATTGCCTATAGCTGCTTCTAGAAGATATGTTTAGCGGCTTTACCGTGTTTCACAAAAAAAAAGAAATATATATATATATATTTATTTTAAATTAATAATTTTATTTTTTTGGTTATTTAATATATTCATATCAAAAATAAATTTTAAAAAATAAAAAAATATATTATATTAATACATTTTTAAATAAAGAATACTTTAAAAAATAATCCCATGACAAATCATTAAAAAATAAGAAATAATACTTTCAAACTTAAAAGAAAAAAGAAAAGGAATTTTAACCATTTTTCAAAGAAGAATAACCAAAATAGCATGGAGGCTCCAATGGCCGCCGCCTCCTCTGCTCCACGCCTCCACCCACCCCCTTCGAGCTACCCACACGGTCAAACCTAAACCATCCAACCATAAAAAAAATATTTTCCATCAATTTCTTGCTTGTTATAATTTATTTTCCTTTTTTTCTTAAAAAAATAGAAAATAGAAGTAGGTAAGGTAAGAAAATTTGTGAAAGGATGATCACCATTGGTAAAATCGACGAAACCGTTCTTCATAAATTAAAGAAAATAAATTATAATTAATATTATTTAATAATAGACTTAAATATCTATACAGCAAGTGTTATTATAGTTTGCTTTTTAAACTTTGTTGCTGTTCAATAATTTACATTCTAAAATTTAATTTATTTTACAGAATATAAATTTTATTTTTTTTAATAATTATATATATAAAAATATAGTATGAGGATAATTTGAATTTTATTTTTAAATTTTATTACTTAAAAAAGAAAGTCACAACATTCCAAAGATGCTATATAAAAAAAATAGAACTCCCCTATAAAACCCGCCCAAAAATCTAGTTATCGTCTGCAACACAAAAAACACAAAACACTAGAGAGAGATGGGTTGCTATGGATTGATGATCCCGGGGAG